TCGTTACAGTCCACGGCATATTAACCTATACATTTCTGTTGCAAAATGGCACCTAAGACCACGACATAAGATGCCATGTTAAACTTGATCTGCTGTACAATGCAAAACATATCGGCCCAGACATCTAACGTATCAGATGGTCTTGCCAAATAGGATCGAAATACAATTAAAAGGCACCAAGGCCGCATAGAGCTTTCAACAGTATTTGCGTGTAAAAGATATTCATGATGTCTTAGGTTTCCAGTTTGGTTGGGACATTGCATTGAAATAACTTCATTGTTTGTTAATTTTATCCGGTATGTTGTTGAATACCTAGGCGTTATAAAGACTGCCGCTTAAAATGTTATATTATAGTTTTTTTAGTAAATTCTATTTCATTTCATACTGGCTTTTACCCGTGACCCTGCCCGCGGCGATGTAAAGCCTAGAATATTGTAGCTTTCTATTAATCTTTTTTTGATTCCGTAATTGTATAGAATCCTTCTTTGAGACTAATGCCCGTTTTCACCCTCAATCCCTAATTTTTAAGTGACCCCTATGGTAACAAATAACAATAATTTTGTTAAAATTAGGGATTGTTGGTGAAAACGGGCATAACTGATACAAATTTTACCTTTAGAAACTACTTGATAGTGTACTGTAAATATTCGTAACGAGGAATTCATTGGCATACAAAATTCATTGTGAGCAAATACGTAAAATATTTCAGGACTAATAATATAATAAAAAGTCACTTTAGAACTTTTTACACACTGAAGCTACAAAAGAAAGATAGCAGCTAAATGTGCCTACTTTGAACGTATCTACAATCGCCGCCCACTTTATCATTCAGATAGGTGCTGCCATTTCCCGAAATCTTTAGACTTGTTTACTTGGCTCTCAATTTTGTCGTAAGAGAGCTGCGTGCAAACATAGCTTCTTGAGTTAACGAGACATTTACATATTAAAAGGGCGGCAGTCGGAGAGGCACGTCTATACTCAAGCACAAATAATACGGTCTAATTAGGTTGTCCTTTTGTAATTACCTCGTTGTATTAAATTCGTAAGTGGAAATACAAACAAACTAATGGTAGGTACCTACTTATTTGAAATGCAATTCTCAATTATTTTGTATGGATTTTATCTTAACGATACGTCCATACGGTCTCGAAACGTACCGTAAAGCAAGTGACGAATGCCTATAAGTACCCAAATTTNTTTACACATTTTTTTTTCTCACCAAAAAATTGGTGTAAATTGATATAAGTAACAATTTTTGGACGATTTACCCTAAATAACCTGAAATAATGATTCCTCATAGTGTAATTACTTATGTTTGTTTTACAACTTTTTCTAAAATTGAAGAAACAAAAAATTATCAACAGAAATGGCGGAAAACGTATCACTTTACACTTGATAGCGTGTGGTCAATTCAGTGTGGTGTAAAATGATTTATATCCCATTACATCACTTTACACGAATGTAAAGTTGTCGTGCATGGTGATATAACTGTGTTTTTATTTAATTACGAAAAAACCACATGCTATATTTTCCAAACTGGCACACTGCCTAATTATATCTAACATTACCTTTCACCTAAAAAATATTTCACCAAGTTATCTCTAATAGCGATGAAGCAGGATTTTTTTTAACTTCAAATGCGATTTCCCAAAAATCACCATTTTCGACTTAACTCCCTTTTCACTGGGGGTACAGATTTCTAAAGTGTTCATCGTAAAAAGTAACTTAAAGTAACTCCTTACAGTACTTAGAACATTTTATTTAATGTTGAAATATAAACAAAACTAAAAAATGCAAGACGAAATGCTTTACATATTCAGCGTTAATTGGAATTTGATATCGTAAAACAAACAGATTTTCTCTTCAAAAATATTTTCCTTTACATTTTTAGAAATTAAAATGTATTATTACCACGAAACTTCAAAGGTCACACATATCGAATAGAAACATCACAACCGCAAAATATTCCAAATCAATATTAGCAAGGGAAATTACCCACCCTAAAAAAATATCAGCACCTCCACAGTAGCTCGACAGAGTTCGCCACTTACCATCCGATGTTTTATTGATGCCCCGAAGGCCGTGCATTAAACTTTCATTGCTTATCAACCGCTATGTATGAGGCCAATTATTAGATGAAAGGGTGGATGTCGGACATGATGACGTTTTTGAAACGTATTCAGAGAATTTGAGACGGGGAAATATGCCACTTCAATAAATGATTGACTTACGCCCGTTTTCACCATCATTCCCTAATTTTAAGTGACCCTTATGAAAACTAAATTCCTGTTATGTGTTTCCATGTAGGTCACTTAAAAATTAAGGATTGATGGTGAAAACGGGCATTACAACACGATTAAAAAAATAGAACATGCCTCCGAAAATTGGCAAGGTATTTTAAATTAACTACTAATAATGTTGCAATTTACATTTGAAACAAAAATAAAATCCTCAAGTAGGTAAACATAAATCGACTAGGTTTTAAACAAGGAATTTTGCATAAGTATTTACTTTTTCATTTTATTCTACTTGTAATAGGATTAAGGATGTCAAATAATAAGATCATATTTTAACAAACCAATAACTGAGATAAATCTTACAATAAATTCACAATGTTATCTCTCAATAAATAATATTAGCAAAGAATTTCAATCACGTAAAGATTCCATCTAAGTCAAATACAGATAAATAAATATTCATCATTCTTCATCTAGATCCACTCGAGTGAGATATCGGTGACCGGACCAAAGGTGATTTATATCACTGCTATGAAATCTAATTTAGTTCGATCACTAAAGACTATGTGGAAAATGCTACATGAGACCGTTTCTTGAGAACTTGACATTTTATGGGACACTTTATGAATTCTTGTAAGTGTATGTTGGTAACGGGTCATTATTGCATTCTGAAATAATAAACAATGTCGCTAATTGATTTAACTTACATACGTGTTAAGGGCAAGAACCAAAAGCCCATTGCAGAACACAAAAAAAACCACAAGCATACCTAAATTATAAAACTGTCTAGATACTTTTTTCTATCTAAGCACGAACATTTAAATTAATTGAGAGATCAACATTAATTTGCATTAAGTATTCGCAATATTAACTTCAATAGCAAGTACATTCAACAGTAAGTACTTCAAGTTCAGACGATATCTATATTCTATTCTATACTAATATTATAAAGGTGGAGTTGTGGAACATGACGCTCAACCACCATAAGGAAGCTCTGGTGTTGGCAAGAACCAAAAGCCCATTGCAGAACACAAAAAAAACCACAAGCATACCTAAATTATAAAACTGTCTAGATACTTTTTTCTATCTAAGCACCCTTTTTGTCTGGATGTCTGGATGTTTGTTCCTCTTTCACGCAAAAACTAATAAACGGATTTTGTTGAAACTTTACAGTATTATTATTTATAACCCAGGCTAACATATAGGCTACAATTTATGACGATATGTGACAAACTAAATTTCAATAAATAGTTAAGAGGTGAGAAATATCTTTAAAAACGCCATCTATCGACGTGCTTTTGACGGTCGTAAACATTCATGAGAGCGAAGCCGTGAAACGTATCATTAGTCCTAATTAGGAACTAAATATTACATTTATAGAACTGTTCATAATATTTAAAATTTAGTCAATAAAGATATTTTATGTAATTGAATAATTCACTGTGTTTAAACGAGCAAATCAAAGTCTAAATTAGTGACCGCCATCTATCGACGTGCTTTTGACGGTCGTTAACATTCATGAGAGCGAAGCCGTGAAAAGTATCATTAAAATTTTATGTAATTGAATCATTCACTGTGTTTAAACGATCAAATAGTATTCAAACATTTAGATAATAACGTTAAAAACCATTTAAAAATCCTATGAGAACTTTTTCGACTTCTACACGGACGAAGTCGCGGGCAAAAGCTATTTGTAAAATCATCATCATCATCATCATTATTTCAGCCATAGGACGTCCACTGCTGAACATAGGCCTTTGTAAAATAATTAGACTAAATTATTAAAAGTGCCTACCCAAAGTCATTAGTACACGCGGACGAAGTCGCGGGCACAGCTAGTTTTTAATACTTCTACATTCGCCTATAATGCAGCTGCATAAGATCCAGTGTTTAGCTTGACATGTCATCTATACCTAAAAGATACGTAACTTAAAGCCTGCAGCTCTAATAATAGAACTGTATGAGATAGTGAATCACAGACAAACTTTCAAAATGTGGGTCACGCCCACGCCCGAATGCGGCGCTAACTGATGCTAATGTCTTAAACAGTTCATTGACAGGCATTGGAGCAACTACCGATTTGCAAGTTACGCAACCGGTAGGTACAATCGGTACAATGGATTCTGCGCTATTTTTTTTTGCTGGTAGTGTATAAGTTTGGGCACATGTGGAAGACGGAACGTGTAGCGTCAGAAGCTGATTGATATGTAACAAATAGTCGTACATTTTAGTACTAAGCAACTTACGTATCTACCTACTGTATGTATGTACATAGCTCTTTCCTTAATTGATTATAATTCAATCATCTAATTGAAATTAAAGTTAGGTATATAGACTACTACTTGGCGTTTAATCCAAACTGAAATATTAGTGTGATCTTCCAAATATCCCAGCGGCAAACTTATTTTAAATCACTATACAGACTGTCGAAGTAAATTATTTTGTAGTGTCTTAACGAACCATTTGAATAGGCCACAACTCTTAACGAATCTAGGTACAATTAAGACACAAAGCTCTGTCAACTGTATTGCTCATTAAGATTTTGTTCTTTGAAACAATACCCTCAAATTAAGACACCAAACAAGTCTATCAAGTCAAAGGTAAACTAGAGTTAAAGGTCTCATTGAGGTTTATTTTTAACGAGTAAGGACTAATTTTGTTTCCGAGACATTGGTCTCACTTCTTGTAAGACAAGTTTCAGGCGAAGGATTAATTTGATTGTAAAGGTATATAAACTTTGCTCGAGACAATGATATTGTCATTCAATCACCTTGTTTCGGCCAAATTTTTCCAAAATGAATTTAAAAGTAAGTGTCCTAAATTGAGTGGTAATAAAATTAATTTATGTCTTCGAAATTTGTGAAATATGTTAATAAGTTATGTAACTAAATTAACACTAAATGCCTCATGGGCCTCTTTGACAACTTTTGTGGATCTCTTAAAATATACTTTTTTTATCTTATTTCAGGATATAGTCTGGTTTCTCTGCGCAATCGCACTATCAACTTCAAAGGAGTGTGATGACGAATCTGAATACGCGTACTCGTCAATATACAGATCCTTTGACACTCCAGCCATCACAAAAAAAGGGTCAAAGTCTGAAGATGTGAAGATATCACCAGCTCCTGAAGTAGTTTATACATCAAATCCAGTTTATTATACTATATTGACTCAAGAAGAAAGCAAACCTAAACCAGATGAAGGAGCACGTGAGATCACACCAGTGAATTCAGACAACGCATCCAACTCTAACAATCAAGATACTGCAACTGCAAATGCAACTGAAGAGAAGAAACCAGTCAGTCAGTCAGTAGCACAGAATGTATCTGCTATGTCAGTTGTCCCAGAAATGACCAACGCTTCTGACGCTGTAATGAAAGCAACTCCTGAAGTCAATGCTTCTGCAGCTCCTGTAACTGTTCCAGCACAAACCAAGGGTTATACTTCACCTCCGTTAACAATGCCAATTATTCAGCCAGGAAGACTTATAACTCCTGGACTATCTGCTTATGCATCTTCAAAGGAAGACCAAGATAATGAATATGTAATTGAAAATAGTGACTCAGAATCACAAGAATCTGAGGAGTCCTTTGATGGGTTCAGCATGTGGTAATTTTAGTTTAAGGCGCGCCTGACAAGTAAATTAAGTTTAATTTGAATATAATTATGTACCTAATTATTGCGACATTTTGCTTCCATATAAGTGTTTAGAGTAAGAACTTAATTTATTTCGAATTATACTGTAGAACTGTAATAAGAATTTTATTACCAGCTTGTTAGTTTATTAAAACAACTATGCTCATTCCTAAAAAGCCAAAGCCATATTTCGCGTTTCGTAATTCTAATCGCTAAGTAGATAACTTCCTACAAGTACCTACTAAAAAACAGACTTGTTCTTAAAGGAAGTTCGTATATGGCCTGACAAAAATAAGCAAGAACGTGTTTAGTATTAAAATAGATATTTGAATGTTGAAGGAATGCCGAATTGCCTGCTTGCAAATAAAACCAACAAAAAAGCTAAAAATAGCATTTTATAATATAAGCTCTCGCAACATCTCCCACACAACAATGAAACTTAAGTAGGTAGTAACATAATTTTGCGGAAGGTAATTAATTGGCATCGCTAAAAAGCTGCATGGTAAAACTAGGCTACTCATTTATAAAATCAGTGTTGCTTATAATTAAAAAAAAATAATTTATATCCATGGCACAAAACTAGTTGACAAGACTGTCGGCTATTTTTCCTAAGTACAAAGGAGTTTTACTGTTTAGACCTGGAGGCGAGTTTGAAAATATGAAAATGAGCTATTTTTTCAGCGACAAAAAACAAAATCAAAAAGAAAACAAAACCAGAACCAAATATACTAGTGATACCGAAACGGTATACACTCAGCATCATAGGTCATCGACTTTTATAGATAGCTTTTTTTTCCTTTATACGAGTGTGTAGAAAATTGTGGTTTACTTTTTTCTGCCCTTATTTCGTATTTACTAAGGCACGTTAACAAAATGTTGACAATGCGTTGGCAAACCGTCTCGAATCGCAAAGCGGGCAACCCGTCGGGTAACAGGCGAGCTATGGTGGCGGCACGATTGACCTGTCCACGTGTTGCAAAAGCACTCTAAGGACTAGTGCATGAAGTTGCAAAAGATTAAACATTTTTGGCATGTTTAACATTCTGGTCACTGCGTGAAACACATAAACTCTCATGATGAGATATGTAGGTATGTTGCTACAAGCATAAAGTAAGGCAAGGTTGCACCATCTTACTTTAACTTTGTCTGTTTATTAACTCCTTAGAAAGTCTTACAGTCACGGTTAAAATAAAGCGGTGCAACTCAGCCTAAGTTATACATGTGTTGTACTTATAAGAAACTTATTCGGTTTCCCTCTCAATACAACGTTTTGCTATAATCAAAAAGCTAGACTTTTAAAGCATAAGCAGAGGAAAACTAACCAAATATGTACACGTTCTCTAGTAAAGACTTACAAAACTTCAGTACACCAACACAATTTTTTGGTTCAATACCTTTCTTAGAACTATGTGCACTACGCTCAAGTACATGCAAAGTTGCCCTTAGACAAAAGCACCACATGCATTCGGTTTACACAACTACAAGGCTTGGCTGGTTCCAGTACTGGACCAATTGATACATATTTATCTAAATTGCCTATCAACGTAAAGTTTTTTACACTATAATTATGCGAGCAAATTCATTTTAGTTACACGGTGAAGCACAAGTTTTATTAGTCCTGTATGAACTGATAAGGACGTCTAGTTATGAAATGAAAAAAGAACTTTCTATATTTTGCTTATCGCAAAGTTTTAGAGGTTTTCGTACTCTTCTTCTTCTTTAGTACCTCAAAGGCGAAAAAATACCACTTACTGGCAGGTAGGTTCCACTTGTACACACCGATAAGAACGGATTATACGAAACTCCACCCCTAAGGGGTAAAACGGGGTCCACGCGTAGGAAGTCGCGGATGGCCGCTATTCTTTTATAAAAATGGATGCCATTTTATTCTGCCATTATCGTGCGTGAGCCATTCAAACTTCAGAGAAAACGGATTTTTGCTTTAATTCAGTCTTTCCCAAAGTGGGCGATAACGCCCCCTTGTGGGCGCTGCAGACTTAAAGAGGGGCGGTAAGAGACCCAGAAAAAAAAATCTGGACGTTGTGTAGAGGCTTGGGAGGCGTCATTTACTATGAGGACTCTTAGACACCGACTGAACACTCGACACTCGGCTACAAATGGGGGCGCTAAAAAGAATTTATTCTCAAAGTGGGCAGTAAACAAAATAAGTTTGGGAACCGCTGCTTTAATTGATAGACTAAGTACTGCAAAATATCTTAGAACAAAATAACACTATTAATGTTCTTTAAAATCGAAATCTATTGAAAAAAGTTCTGACTGAGTTGTAGGTTAGGTATGTCAATCCTATGTCGAAAGACTGTTACATTTTTAGGTCCACATTCAGTGTTGTCAAGGAGTTGTTACATGGCGGATAATCTAGACATAAATCACAAGGATCTAGCTCAACTCGCGTCTCGTATGTTACTAGTAGGTACTTACGTATATTTTCGCCGGATCCTGCGACATAGTCTAGGGCTGCCGATTGCCTCAATTTCTTAACTGGACGTAGCTTCGCAAGTTAGTTGAGTTCTAACATGCCAGGCACATATTTGTCCACATTTCTTTATGTTCATTTGTGAGTGTTATTATGAGTTAAGCGCTTTGTATTATGCTTTTCCAAACGTCTGATGCTTAAGAGACATACTAAGTTGTAGTTCAGAATATGCTCTTTATTGGGGAGCAGTGGGCCTATGTTCAGCAGTGGACGTCCTATGGCTGAAATGATGATGATGATGATGATGAATATAGTGCTTAACGCCAATTGTTTTTAATACTCGTAACATCACAAAATATTCTACATCCTCTCAAAATATTCTACATCCTCCAAAAATATTCTCCCAGCAATGATATTTTTAGGTTTTTTGAAGAAATAGAAAAGAAGATTTACTAATTTGGTTTACATGTAACGGATTAAAACAGCGATATTATCATGTCTGTTCTTCACTTCCCTCTCCAATTTCTAAATAGGATCCTCATTTCTTTCCACAGTACGAGTATACCAATGGCTATGATTATGATTTTTTTTAAGATTTATTAGTAATTTGTATTGCACAAGCACAAAAGAGTCCCGTTAGCCCCTCGTCGTAAGCTAATACTTGTGTTACAAGTGGGTTCCCACAATAGTCGAGCGGCAGTGGGATATTTTATCTCTAGATCTCTAATCATAGTAAAATTCCTAGACAGCCCTAGATGTATCCGCCCGAGGTCAGCCCTCATGTGGCACAAGGCGGCGCCCGCGCCGGGGGTAACGACTCACTATAAATGTGCGCAGGATCACACACGCAGTATCACTTGTGAACTGGACTAATATCAAAATGGCTGCCAAGGTACAGCTCTTGTGATGTGATACATAGATTAGATAAAGTGGAAATGTAGAAAAGTGAAAGTTATGTTTTTATTGATTGCAGTTTAGTTGCAATGTTACGTAGTATTGATAAAAGTTCAATGACCGCTTTGATAAAGTGTTTCCGGAGTTGCAAGCTTAAAAGCTTCTTTTTGATTCATTGAACTTTAAGTTCGTTTCGGAATATACTTTTGTAAGAAGATACAAAAGTATATTCCGAAACGATAGTGTAAAACACTCCTGTAAACCAAAAAGTTACTTTACTGAACTTACAAAAGTCGTTCAAACTACCTGTTGGTGGTTCGTAACTCAGATCTTCACTTCCATAATTATTTCTATCAGTGCATTGTAAAGTCTGTGAATTTTGTAAAAAAATACTTTTGCAAGATTTTTTGTAAAAACTTATTTTCTGTTTTGCACGTTTTCATTTATAAAACTAAAAATCTAAACTTTTTGATGTCCACATACGTCTTTTAGGTTGCATGCGTCAAATAAACAAGAACCTCATCCATGAAAAATATCTTCAATTTGATCATTCGATCGTTTTTAATAAAATATTTCCTTTCCAGTTCGTAGTCCTCCTGTGCGCGGTGGCGAGCGTTCGCGCCGGTGGTTTGGTCGGTGGCTACGCCGCAGCCCCCTACGCCTCATACGCCGCCCCAGTGGCCAGCTACGCGGCCGCTCCAGTGGCCACCTACGCGGCCGCCGCTCCCGTGATCAAGAGCTACGCTGCCCCTGCCATCTCAGCCTACGCTGCTCCATCATACGCAGCGTACTCCGCTCCCGTCGCGTACTCCGCGCCCGTAGTCAAGGCCGTAGCACCAGCAGTGTCCTCTGTCTCATCCTATTCCACCCACACCTCCCACGCCGCTCCTATCTACGCTAAAGCCGTAGCTCCCGTAGCTGCCTACGCTCACGCTCCCGTAGCGTACTCCGCTCCCGTATCGTACGCGGCCCCCGCCCCCGTCTCCTACGCCGCTCCCGTGGCCACTTACGCTTCCCACGCTCCCGTATCGTACGCCGCTCCCGTGGCCACCTACGCCGCTCATGCTCCCTACGCTGCGTACTCTGCCCCAGTCTACAAGTCCGCGCTGGCTTACTCCCACGCACCCGCTGTGTCCCACGTCTCATACAGCGGACTCGCCAACTACGGCTGGTAATCCCTGACTGTACAAATCTAGTTGTTTACTTGTATATTTATTTTTATACAATGCGAATAAATTGAAAAATTAAAAACCTATACACATTTTTATTTCTCTCTGCTTAGTGTATTTATAATTTGCATAATTGTTTAATTGATAGTAACTTAGCGTTTACTCGCTCGACGGCAAACAAGTTTTGATAAGTAAATGTGTGAAACAGATAACATTATCGTTAGGATAGCTAGTTGGTACTTATCTTGGCGATATTACTTGCTAGGTAGGAAACTACTTTTTGCTGTGTGGACATTCAACAAGGTTTTGTAATTCTAGTATAATGTCACGAGTTTATCTATAGCAATATGATCTAAGAGTTGATCTGATGACCAACATGAACCAATATAATGTATGAAATGTAGAGCTTTCATAAACTAATTGAGCTCAATTAATAAATTAGAAGAACGAAACAATGTCGCCATTGAAATGTTATAATTTAAATTCTCTATTCCCTGGTTATTGCTAAAAAGAAAGACAAATAAAAGAACAAGTATACGTTTCTAAAGTAAACGCGGTTACATTGTTCCTGGCTCATTTGCGCTAAATAAATTCGATTAAAGTGATTCTGCCAGCTTGCCGAATCAATGTTCATTCAATTTATGTTAAGAAAACTAACTGGTTTATAGAGCTAACAAGTTCATTCAGAAACTGTAAGTGAGAATCTTAACGCATCCGTTATATTTTAATTTTACTGTCTTTTCAATGCGTCTGTTTACTGAATACTTAACTAATAACATTTTACTTATTCAACAAGTTCACCATCTATACTTATTTTATTTATTTTATTTATTTTATTTATTTTATTTATTTTATTTATTTATTTATTTATTATTCATTATTGAGCAATTACATATTTGATCCAAATAGGACCTAAATCCTTTTTAGGTTTGTCTAGACACTATTGTTCTCTATACAAATAAAAACAAACGTTTTAGTATAAGCATTCACAACACTTTCAGATATACAAAATATTATTTTAGCGAGTGCGCACTACGATGACGAAAGACTCGACGTTCGATCGCGATCGCAGTTATAATAAATCTGTAGAGAGGTCAATTCTGTACATGAAATATATTTTCAAAATAACTATCAGGGGGTGATTAGTGATCGATACTGATGCCAAAAATGCAATCAGTAAAATTTTTGTGTCTGTCTGTCTGTCTGTCTGTCTATCTGTCTGTCTATATGTTCCTTATAGAAACAAAAACTACTCGACGGATTTTAACGAAACTTGGTACAATTATTCTTCATACTCCTGGGCAGGTTATAGGATACTTAGGAATTCCCACGGGAACGGGAATCAGCGGGAAAATCCTTTTGTATGAAAAATCTAAACCGCGTAAGATAGATGAAGGGGGGGTAAAACGAGATCCACGCGTACGAAGTCGCGGGCGGCCGCTAGTTATAGGTACATAAAAATTATGCAAGACCCAAAATATCGATAACTTTGAGCGTCCGAAAATTTAGTTTAACCACTAGCCTAAATAAACAAGGGACTGGCATAGTTTACCTAACAAAATATTTGTATAAACTTTGAACATGTAGTTTGATATCTAAGATGTCCAATGATAATATCAAAGGATATTTTTGGACAGTTAGGACCGTCCGACAGCAATGGACGGAGACTATACGTACTGACAAGTGAAGTGGATGACACCAGCCTGCCCAATAACCTGACGATTGATTGATCTTACTCAGTTAAATGAATACTACGAATGCTACGAATTAGCAAAGGGTCTATTTTTTTTTATCCGCAACGAGGTAGCTCTTGCCCTGTATCTCACCTGATGGTACCTAAGTGATGATCAGGCCGAAGGTGGAAGCGAGCTTCACCCGTAATCCTCAACCACGGAGGAACTGGATATCTTACCTCTAACTGCCGGAACACAACAATGCTGTTAACATTGTTGGTCTGTTTGAACACAAGCAGCCTGAGAAATTGTTATCTCCGAAAGAATTCACAAATAACTACGTGTATTTCAAAATTTCATGAATATTGGAGTCCATCCATGTACTCTATGTAGGTATGTTTCCTTTAAAACAAATTACTATAAAAATCCTACATCGTTTTATTATTATGAGTAAAAGCAGTAGATTTTTCCAAGTGGAAAATAATGCTCTAACTTTCATAGCGTGTAGTAACCACATTACAATCAGGGAAAATGGACACCACCGAAAGGTTAAATCCTTCGGTACAATACGGCGGAGAGCGGAAAAAAGCTACGAGCTAGGGATGAGACTTCTATCGAGTGAATCTTAACACAGAAAATTTTCTTAATTTTCTTTTTTTACCTTTATTTCAAAAATGACTGCCTATTGTGCCGTATCTTTTGTATAAGTATTTATTTCTTTTTTTTTGTCTTGTGTGGATTACAATAAAGTGCATTCTATCTGTCTGTCTAAATGTTTTTAAGGAAAGTTCATTTGATGAGTATAACGACAAGAAATTCATCAAAATTTAAGTCATAAAAAATATTCATCTATCGGTTAAATATTCCTACTGAAATACCTATAAGTATTTTGCATTGAAAAAGTTCCAATTAAACTTAAAAATAATAGTAACTCTATTTATCGTTCAGTTCCCACGATTCAAAAGTAAACAAATCAAAAATCTATTCATCGATGTTCAAGCATTGGATAACCTATGGACATCCCTTTTCCGCACCCACAAAGGTTTTCGTCAGGTCACTCGGCAAATCGCATTTCAGTCAATCGCCGCTTTTCTTGACAACTCGGATGTAGTGCCCGTGCGAGCACTCGAAACCGTACAAATAGGTTTTACTGGATTACATGCATTAGTGTTAGAAGACTGGAAAAGATTGCAAGTAGTTAAAATAGGGATTTGAAATTACTTCAGCTATCATACATTTAGATATAAAACGTCGTTCAATTTTGATTCGAAAATAAAGTAAAAAGTGTAAAAATTAATAGTTTAAAAAACTAGAAACACGCTTTAATTACTGCACTAATAAGCCAAAAATTCCGCCGTTTCGTTAAGGAGTTCCTATGGACTCCTCCTGACTTCATCATCAGGACCCTGGACATCATCTAGCACTAAAAGACAAATCCAATAAACCGAAACTCGATGCAAATCCGCCGTTTTGTTTAGGAGTTACTATGGCCACCTTCCAGTCCCATCAGCAGACCAGTTCGATGGTACCATAATATTGTATTGACATCAGCTACATAAAATTGCCAAGTTTTATCAAGATACAAAAATTAGAAGTGCATGTAAAAAATTCAGATTGTTAGATTCCATTACTCGTACATACTTAGTTACGTCACAAGTTACGTGCACGACGACCTAATAAAAGCGAGTTACAAACAACTGTTACAATAATAGGGAATTAAAAATATGTTGGTTCACTGTGAACTTACTGTAAAATAAGACAAGTTCTCTACTTACATCAATTTCGCTGTAATAAAATGTTACTTATCAATTAAGACAAAAAAACACGCACAAAAAACAATAAAACTAGGCATTCAATATAATTAGCGAATAATTATAAACACAATTAGCGTCAACAGCTCATAACAACAATTATGCGTTAATACGAAAGATATTCATCAGCTTTAGGGTTCCCCGGAGATACATAAAAACGGCCGATCTGAATCCAGATCTGACACCAAGATGGTCAACATTGTTGAACAGTTATAAAAAAATGTTTGAAAAATGAAAAAAGTTGGGAATATAATATTTTCTTCACGTCCAAAAACAATGAAAAAATTGAACTTTCTATAAGGACGCTTATATGCATGCATTGCTCATGGTCTTGAAAAACATAGCCACCATTATTCTAACTTAATATTTTATTACTTTCTGTCAGAACTTTATGTTGTTGCAATAAAAAATAGGTAAATACTAGCTTTTGCCCGCGGCTTCACCCGCGTGAAATTTCGTTTGTCACAGATCGTCATAAATTAAAGCCTATATGTTATTCTGGGTTATAAACAATAATAATGCTATAAAGTTTCATCAAAATCCGTTCAGTAGTTTTTGCATGAAAGAGTAACAAACATCCAAACATCCAGACATCATGAATTCATGACATCCAGACATCCAAACTTTCGCATTTATAATATTACTAGTAGGATAGGTACCTCATTTGTTAGTCCTTGCAAAAGTTTAACCGGTAGTGTCGACTGTCTAATGACAAACTTTATAACACTGTAATAGTATATTAAATCATTGTACAGAACCATATTTCTTTAAGTAAACAGCGCATTTTATTACGATGATTAGACATCACGAGCAAGGTCAACACAATGCAATCGAAAGTGCGGAACCCACCACCTTGACTCACGCAAGACAACGGATTATTTGACCACGCGTCAACCTGCAATTTGTATGACTGCCATTAAACAACTATTTGACCATCTGAATCCATCAAGGCTTTTGTTGATTGCGGTTATAATCAGGGTTAATACAATTTGATGTTTCGAGAATTGAGTCAATTTAACACACAATATAATATGAGCACTGCTACATGTAAAGAGGGATTAAGGTGTAAACAATAAAATATTTTACTAGCAATATCACCATCGTAGCACACGGATATTTACGCCAAGAAGACGGTGGATGCAGGCCACTACCCACCGGTTGATTGTGGAAATCATTGGGGGAGACCTATGTTCTACAGTGGACGTCCTGTGGCTGAAATGATAATGATGATGATTCTCCAATCTAATATGGCTCGATTCCTACTTACATAGACTGTGAGGTTATTCTATGCATTCAAAAGAGCAATGAGCACTAAGGTACAAATGGACTAATGACACCTACCTACTGTTATGAGCTTAGAAAATCAGAATTTCTACTCCGCAAACCTGACGTTAATTGTTTTACAAAATTCCCGTGGAATTCTCCTGGACGCAGTTTAAATTTTAATTTTTGCGGGACGCAGACGGCCCGGCTCATAATTTTATTACAGCTTTTTGGCTTTTGGTACTTTGAATGCAAATTATTCAAAATGCAATAATACAAAGCATTAGCACTGTCCCTACAGACCGGGATT